GCTGGTTTATTGACAATTCTAACAGTATTGATAAGCCTCTAATTAGATTCATTAGGAGAAAAAAATATGTACATTATCAGTGGCAACAGAGAGAATAGAGTCATCACTCTAAGCATTAAAGTCACGGACTCTAAAACATTAAAAAGAAAATAAGGAGCAATTATTAACATTTTATAGCAATAATGGGAAACTTAAAAGAAAGGGGCAAACTTTCCCAAAGGACAGAAATGACCAGAATTCACTCAAGAATAAATGCCCTGGGCTGGGAGTGTGCGGATTGGTGCTGGAGCACTTGCCTGTAATACTCAAGGCTTTGGGTTTCATCCCCAGAACTGCCAAAATAAACAAATTATCCAAGCTGAATGTGCAGTTTAAGACATTTCCACAAAGAAAACTCTAGACCCAGATGGCTTCCAAGGAAGAAACAATATCAGTTCTATAGAAAGTCACCTAGAGGAGGTTTTTTTTTTTTTTCTTTTTTTTTTTTTTTTGGTTTTTCGAGACAGGGTTTCTCTGTGTAGCTTTGCGCCTTTCCTGGATCTCGCGCTGTAGACCAGGCTGGCCTCGAACTCATAGAGATCCGCCTGCCTCTGCCACCCGAGTGCTGAGATTAAAGGCGTGCGCCACCACCGCCCGGCTAGAGGAGGTTTTAAGTGATCTTGCAGATAGAAAAGCCCCAAAGTCTTTCTAATTTTTGGAGTTAAAAAGCAGGTTTAAAACTTCCTGGATCCGAGGACAATGCAAAAATCAGTCATAGTTTTAAAACAGTGCAACACTGAGTTCTATCCACAGAACAGCTACTATGAGAAGAGAGAAAACAGGCTGGGCATCCGTGTGCACACCTGTGATCTCAGCATCCGGGAGGCTAAGACAAGATTGTGGGTTCCAGAGCAACCTGGAACCTAGAGAGCAACCCCATCTCAAACTCCCAAACAAATCAAGACTGAGTACTGGTAAGGAGTAGGAGGGTGTCTAGACTCTCACGCAATGCTGGGGGTGGGGGCTGTAAATCAATGCTGTCATTTTTTGCAGAAGGGAAGAATCTGACTCTCCTAAGTCCTGACCAATCAGAAGTGAGTATACGGGTTCATTGAAATGCAGGTAGGGAAATGCCCACTGCAGCGCTATCCCAAATAGTCCCATGCTGGAAATGACCTAAACATGCCGCTCTAAAATAGAAAAAATAAGTCCTGGTGTGCTTCAAGAAGAGGGAATTAGTAAACAGTGAAGATGACCCAAGTACTGCACACAGGAAGTGGATGAATCTCACGAGTATCTCCATGACTCAACATACACCAACACGAAGAACACACACTGTACAACTCAGCTGATGAGCTGTCCTGAATCAGAATAGACTGAGGGACCCTGTAAGAAGTCAGCATGGGCTCTGTCCCCAAAACCGATCCCTCTCGCCCACACCCCTTTCAATGACAGCTCAGATAAGGTCATCATCTCCCTGTGGACCTATGCATCATTTTCAAGTGAAGAGTGTTGGTTTATATAAATGAATTTTTCCAGTGTTGGGGATCAACTCAGAGCCTGTACATGCTAAGCACCTGCTCTACCATTGAGCTCGTAACTGGGTGGGAGGGGGCAGGTCCTGGTTATGTAGGGGAGTTCATTTTTACAAACCAATCCAGTAAGATATGCATTTAAGACTGTGTACCTCTTCATATACGCACGTGCGTGCGTGCGTGCATGCGTGCATGTGTGTGAGGTGTGGTGTCAATATGGAGGCCAGAGGATAACTCACAGGAATCAGTTCTCTCCTTACACCATGTGGGTGGGTCCCTAGTATCTAACTCAGGGCATTAGGGTTGGTGGCAAGCATTTTTACCCATTGAGCCATCCTACCAGCCCATGCCTGTGCTGTTTATATCCTTAAAGTACGAGAACACATTTGGGAGGGCAGGAAGAAGGAGCAGCAACTGGACACAGGATTTCTGAGGTATGGATCATATTCTTTCTCAGTCTGGGTGCAGGAAGCAGGGCTTGATCAGCTTACAGAATTCAGTGGGCAATGTGCTTAGCACTGCAGGTGTACACACATTCCTGCGTGGGTGTTATGTTTCCACCCAAAGTTGATCCACACAAGCCAACAGCCCGCGGGTTAAAAGGGATGCACACATCAAAACTGGAGAAGTTCATCTTGCCAGAATGGTCCTTGATGGGCAGGAGCGTGGGTTCTGGGGCCTCCTGATGTCAGGAGCTGCCCCCATCCCTGGTCTTTACCCCCACGCCCCGCTCCCGCGCACCTTGCAGCAGTTCCAACAGTCCTGCATGTTGATCCAGTAGTTCTTGTGGTTCCAGAGGCTCTCGATGCCCAGGAAGTGCTCATCCTTGGTGCTGTAGCTGCGTGCTGTCAGTGGGTCGATGAAGAAGCTCTCAGGCACCTCGCGTTTCCCGGCCAGCACCAGGACCCAGGCATGCACCCGCAGGCCATGCAGGGGGTCGGGCTTCGACTTCTCTTCCTCCTGCACAGGGAAAGTGGGTGACCACCAGCCAAGGGGAACTCTCCATCACCCTTCCTCGAAGCCCAAGGTTTCAACCCACAAAATGAGAGGGGCCGATCAGATCTGTGGTTCATTCTGTGGGACGATAGTACCTGGGGTGAGATTTCCTCTGAAGAAAGGCAATGCGCTCTACCGGTAAGGAGCGCTTTGGTGGCTCCTAAAAGAAGGCCTTGCGGCCCTAGTATGTTATCCCTTGTGGGTGCTGTGAGCAGCCACGCCAGAGTGCAGGGCCGTTGAGACCCACCAGGAGGCGCTCTTCCTCCTCCCTGAGCCGCTTCTCTTCCAGGTCCTTGATTTCCTGCAATCTCTTTTCCTCCTGCTCCAGCTCAAACCTGCTGGTCAGGTCGCGGGGCGGCTTGATGGCGTACTTCTTAGGAATCGTCTTCTCTGCCATCTTGACTGCCTGTCACCCAACAACAGAGGAAAGTCCAGCTCCCACCCACACCCTTCACAGGGTCTACCTTGACAGAAGAGGGAGCAGCAGAGTTAGGGAGGAGAGGGGTGGGGCGGGGGTCCTCTCTACAGATCAAGCCTAGCTGCACAGCAAGAGAACCCGAAGGACCTCCCCACCAGCCTAGCGCTGGAAACTGTTCACAGCAAGAGGAGTCTTATTAACCCCGCTGCCCAGGCTGACCTGGAGCAGATTGTCTGGGGTCAGAGTTTTCAGGGGTTATCCCTGGGAGGTTTCATACATTGACCCCAAGATCAAGTTTTCTGGGCCAGGAAAGAATCTCCTCTCTCTCTCTCTCTCTCTCTCTCTCTCTCTCTCTCTCTCTCTCTCTCTCTCTCTCTCTCTCTCTCTCTCTCCATGAGCATATGTGTGTTTCTACACGTATATGTGTACACATGTGTATATAAATATGTACAAAATGACGGCTTGTAACAGTAAGAGAAATGCAATCTCCCGTCTTGGGAGTCAGACCCAGGTTTCCATCCCTCGGTCTCCATCCTCCAAAACACATGATCACATTTGCTTTTTTACCATGCCATTTTATCTTCCTGTACACTAAGAATGATAAGTAGCCACCGAGTCAGTTCATGCCCACATTAGACCTGTTTATCATCCAGAAAGTTCTCTACCTTTGTTACATATTGATGTAAGTTGATTCTTTGCATTGCAGCTGAGACAAGGAGGCCAGGAGATGTGAGCTCAGAGGCCATGGAAAGAAAAGGTACAAGAGAGCATTTGCTCGTCCCTTGTGTGGTAGTTTGAAAGAAAATGGCCCTCATAGGTCCATCGAGAGTGGCACTGTTAGGAGATGTGGCCTTGTTGGAGGAAGTGTATCACTGGGGCTGCTCTTTGAGCTTTCAAATGCTCAAACCACACCCACTGTTGCTCCCTGCTGCCTGCTGATCTGGATGATCAGCTCCTTCTCCAACACCATCTCTGCCTGTGAGCCACCATGCTTCCTACCATGATGATAATGGACTAAACCTCCGAATCTGTAAGCCAGTCCCAGATAATTGTTTTCCTTATTAAGAGCTGCCATGGTCATGGTGTCTCCTCACGCAATAGAAACCCTAACTAAGACACCTTGCTTGGGGAGCCAGGCCCAAGCAAGCAGGCTGCCTGGTACCTCTCCCTCTTCCTAAATCTCCTGTTCAGTGCTTCAGGCCCCTGGGTCTTCATCCTTCAGTTGCAGAGGGGCTGACTCTTGCCACAGAGCCCTGGAATCCACCCAGGGTGTGCAAAGCTCTTTTTGTGCACAGCATGGTGTTTTTCCAAATGTAAAGAGATTTTTTTTTTTATGTGTGATTCTGGCATGAAACATATGCACAAAAATGCCTTCATGAACACTCATTACCCACAACCACAACCACACTCATACTCAGTACTTCATATGCTAACTTTAACATTTTTAAATTTTAAAAGTGCTTCTTTTGTTTGCAGAAACTCTGGTCATCATCAAGTTCTTAATCAACAGACAGAAAACTCAGCTGTCACTCCTTGGGGGTAGTGGTAACTTTTCCCCACTAAATAGGATACTTTGGGGCTAGGGATGTAGCCTAGACTAGCATGCTTGCCCAGCACATGCAAGGTTCCTGGTTCCATCCTGGAACCACAAAGGGAGAGGAGGGCTGAGAATCAAGCACTCACTTGGCCATTGTTTCCCACCACTAAAAGGACCAGCTGAGATTTTATCTGATGCAAGGGGAAGTGGGCAAGCTTGTGATAGTTAGATAGAAGGCAGAAACCATGTGAGTCATAAAATTTGCTCAGTGGGAGCACAGTGTCTTTTTTTTTTTTTTTTTTTTTTGTTTTTGTTTTTTGCGACAGGGTTTCTCTGTGTAGCTTTGGAGCCTTTCCTGGAACTCACTTGGTAGACCAGGCTGGCCTCAAACTCACAGAGATCCGCCTGACTCTGCCTCCCGAGTGCTGGGATTAAAGGCGTGCGCCACCACCGCCTGGCGAGCACAGTGTCTTAAACTGAGCAAGGACAAAGCAAGAGTGGCAGCAGTTTGGAGAACTGAGCTGTGGGTGATGCTGAGGATGGAGAAACCTCCAAGGGTCTGAAATAGGGAGTCTGGAGCAACAGAGGACGCCTGGTGATGGGGCAGGAACCCATAAGTGTATGGACAGCCTGGGTGGGGACCTGCTTCTCTAAGGGTGGCCCTAGTCTTCTAAGGGTGGCCAGGGCAGGGGCACAGTCCTCCTGTCCCTAAGGGTGGCCAAGGCAGGGACCTAGCTCCTGCTTCTTTCTCTAAGGATGGGCAGGGCAGGCCCTGATCCTCTGAGGTGAATGGGCAGCCCCAGGAATTCGCGTTCTCTGCCATGCATCAGGCATTACCTCTTTGGCCTTTACGGTGAGCGGACACACTTCTCTTGTCAGGTCCATGAGACACAGATCCAGGGAGCCATAGCCATTGACGCAGTAGGCGTCATAGCCAGAGCCAATGAGCATGGAGCAGAGCAGGTTGCTGAAGTCGAAGCAGTTCCCCTTCTGGTACTTGAGCACAGTGGTCGAGGAGTACAGGTGTGTGGGCTGAGCACAGAACACCCGTCAGCTGGGCCCGACCCCGCACCACTCACCACCCACCTGCAGGGGTCGGGTCCCTGTTGCATGGGGAGCCTCTTGAGGACATGAGACAAACAGACCCACGCCACCCACATGTGACTGCCATTTTAAGGAACTGGTGGCTCTCCTCCAACGCTCTCCCCTCCTCCTCCATCCTTCTCATCCTTCTATCAGTGCTCGGTTATTGACCCCTCCTTCCTGTCTCCTTCCTTTCTCAATGAAAAGCTGACCGAACCTCTCAGGAGCCCAAAGATGGGGCTGAAGGCTACAGGCAGCTTGATGTCCCCAGCTCTTTTGTACCTCCTGAAATAAAAGAGGGAGACTGAGGCAGAATCCACCAGATGAGAGACCAGGCTTGCTGTGTATCCTCAGGCCAGTGATTGCCTCTCTGTGCGTTTCCCCCTACATGTGTCTGAGAAGGCTGGAGCCTGCCTGAGCTTCTATCGCCCAGACTTGCCTTAAGCCTGCCCGCCTACCCCATGCAACCAGGAAGTAGCACTTACCGGCTTGAGCGGATCAAGCAGAGGGACCATGGTAAGGAAGTCAGACACAAACTGGGAGCAGGTGTCCCAGTTGTAGAGTTCCGGGTAGGGCATCAGTGTGGGCCTCAGGGTGGTGCTCACGAACTTCTGCAAGTGAGAGATCATGTCAGGGACCATGTGTAGCAGGGAACTGTGAGCATCCATGCCTGCCCGGCCCAACCTTCTTCCTTGACTTCTCAGGAGGACCCTAAAGAGGCCTGACTCACGGGCCTCAGTGTGGTGGAGCAGACCATTGCTGGGAAGGTCGGGCATTGGCCAGTGGACGTGACAATGGCTGAGAGGCATTCACATCACTCCATGGGGACAGTACTAGCTTATTCTGAATCTGAGCTGGAAGGACTGGGGACTTCCCTCCAAGCTCAGAGAGGCCAAGTGACCTTATTGTCTAAGGTCACCCAATAAGATGGGGCTAAAGGAGATAGATCTCCAAGGTTGAGGCCCTTGCAGAGCCTACAGAGGTTCTAAGCAGGGGTAGCTGGTGACCAGGGTGGTCTCCAGTAGCAGGTGACAGTCCCTTAAGGGAAGGGCAAAGGAACAGGACAAAGTGGGGCAGAGCAGGCCCTAAAACCTGGCCCAGGTTTCTTGCTTCCCTCCACATGGCCCCAGGTACTTCCCTGAGCCTCTCTGGGCCTCAGTTTTCCCATCTATTCCTGTCCTATGGACAGGAGGATTCCATTCAGGCATGTGAGGTCTCCTAGCTAGTGTTAGTAGTCAGAGCTGAAAGTCACAGCTTGCTCAGGGCTAGCCTGGGCTGCAAAGTAAAAAGACCCCTTAACTCAAGACTAAGAAGGCTGGGGATGTAGCTCAGTGGTAGGTGCTAACTCATGTGATAGGCCCTTGGCTCACCCCCCAGCTTCCAATTCAGACCCCAGGCCTGCCTTCCCCTGCAGTCTTCTCCTCCAGCTCCTGGCAGGCCAGAGCTGATTCACGGGAGAGCTGTGATGTGCCCCGGAGACAGTGGAGAGGCGGCTGTGCCCCCCTCCACCCTCTGCTCCTGCTCTGGCCCTGCCCTCCAAGCCCCAGGCTTACAAGCACATTGCACTCATTTAGCGGGTGCAAGAAGAGAGGCACGCGGTCCGGGCACAGGTGGCTGTACTGTCGGGAGAAGTTGTCGGCCACCAGCAGCAGGTGCTCCTCCTTGGGCGAGTTGGTGGTGTAGGAAGGAGGCAGCTTGGTCACGTCAATGAGGGCCTTGTTTATGATCCTGTGTCCCAGGAGGGATGGCAAAGCTCCGAGTGAGGCCATGCTTGGCACCCCAGGCACCCCCAAAGCACCTGAGCTGTCTGTGCCTTTACTTCATTTAGTCGTCACAACTACCCACACTTCCACCTTTACACAGACAAAGTAAAGGAGGAAAGATGAGCGGTCCGGAAGCAGACCCGCATACTGAACCTCATCCCTCTATGGCCACCAGCCCGGGTGCCACCATTCGGGCTCGGTCCTTCCTCTGCCTGGTCCTTTCTAACTGTGCCAGGGCTGCTGGGTGGGAAGCCCCAGTCCTGACACTCACGGGTACTCAGCTGGAATGGGGGGCTCGATGGCCATGAGCCTCTTATCCAGGTCTCGAAGCTCATCCTCTGTCATGATGGTTTCCTCTTTGCTCACTTCGGCGGGCTTCATCATCCTCTCCATCTTTTCAGCCCGTTCTGCCCGTTCAGCTGCTTCCTCACGCTCAGCCGCCTCCTCCTCCTCTACTTTCTCTCTCAGGACCTCCATCCTGATATCTCTGGATAGCTAGAGACGAATATCTCTGTAGGGAAACGCAGATATGCTCAAAATGACCATGGTCGGCCAGAAAGGCGTCACTGGGACCACCGTGTGCAAGCTGAGGGGCCTGGGGATGCTTTTCCTCATAGAGGAGGAAGGGCGTCCCTTGGAAGCATCCCTCCCACCAGGGAGGAAGTCTCAATTTGGTGCCAGCCCATCTCTAACACCTTCTAATACAAAGCTCCCTTAGAACAAAGACAAGGAGCTGGACATGGTGACACGTGCCTGTAATCACCGCACGTGAGAGGATGAAGCAGGAAGATTTTAAAGTCCAGACTAGCCTGGGCTACATAGACAAGCTCCTTCTCAACAGACACCAGACAAAGTCAGCATCAGGTTACCCAAAGTCACTAATGTGGCTTTGACAACCACTTTCTCTTTCCAGTATTTGACATTAATGCTGTAGGGATTGCTGAATATACAGTTTCCTATTGAGGTATATTGACAAAGTTCAGTGAGTCACCTGGATTAAAGGAAGTTATTTAGAATAGCAAGGCGAAACAAAACAAGACCCACAAAATAGGAAGTAAAGGAAATCTCATCTCACTAAACTGGAAACTGAAGCACAGCTTACAAAGGCCTGCAGGGCTGGAGAGTTGGCTCAGTGGATAAGAACACTTACTGCTCTTCCAGAGGACTCCGAGTTTGGTTCCCTGCACATGTTCCCTGTGTGTGTACACGGTGGCTCACAAATATCTGTTACTCCAGTCCTAGGGGATCTGAGGCCCTCTCTGGCTTCCATGGACATTGCATGCATGTAGTACACAGACATGTAGGCTGACCTGCACCTCCGCCACACACACACACAAAAAATTTAAGACTAACGTTTTAAAAGGCAGAGTTACTGCTAGGGCGTGTGTGTGTGTGTGTGTGTGTGTGTGTGTGTGTGTGTGTGTGTGATGACAGCCCAGAGGACAGTTATCATCCTGTGACACACATTGAGATGCTGTGTATGCAGCCACAGAGCAAGACTTCACTAAGATTCACGGTCACCAACCCAAAGATCTGCCCCTTTCCATACCACAGAGCCCCAGGCTTGAACTGGGGCACCATGGTGCCAGGTTTGTAGTATTCCACTTCCCGGACTCTCTGGCAGTGAGTGGTGGGGACATGGCCCAGTCTGGCCAGCGATATGTGAGGAGAGAGGCCATTCGAGGGCAGAGGGCAACAAGCACACAGCCTTGGTTCTAGGTCCGTTTTATGCTTGGGACATTCACACCAAGTGGGAGGTGGGGAAGCCATTGGTGAAGGGCCCCCTGGGAGTACCAGGGCTGTCTGCTAACGACAAGAGGAGAGTGAGTCAGGTTCCCAGGGACGCCTTGAGCCTAGCACCACCCCAAGACTCCCAGCTCATGCAAAAACTTGGCCTCTGCTCCATGACACCCAACACCAGTCCACCTGTCTGTCTGCCCTGCAGCTCAGGCCTTTCCTCCACCCACCTTTCAGATCTGCTTCAGTAGAACAGAAACCTCCAGCCCACTGGAAGCAGTGCAGACGCAAGACAGTAATGAGGATAGGAGAGAAAAGGGATCCAGACTTGTTCTCAGCTCCGAGAGAGGAGTGACACTAAGGAGCAAAGGGGACCAGGCGGGTGAGCTGGGATGTGGCTGAGTGGTAGTGTGCTTGCCGGTGTGCATGAGGCCCTGGGTTCCATCTCCAGCACTACAAAATAAGGAGGAGGGGAGTGGAGGCTGGCCCTGCCTCCCCGCTCCACCCCTACCCAACTGCCCCAGACTCCTGCAGAGGAAGGCATGGGCTGCCAGGCCAAAATGAGCCACAGGGAGAGGTGGGAGTTGGGTATTTACTATTCTTTTTGACTCAGCTAGCAGCTCCTGCTGGGGCTCACAGGCCACTCCCCACTTCTTTCTGGCCCCCATTTCCCCTCCTGCAATGTAGAAGGGGAGCAGGTTCTGCTGGTCCAATTCTGATATTCTGTGCTCTAGGACTCTGGAAGGCTGACTGCCTATGGCTAGATAGTCTAGTCTCTCTGAATCCTAGCAGAGGCCTTGGGTCCTACAGACCCATTCAGGACGCCTGTTCCTAGGGACAGTTCTCCAGCTAAGCCGCATGGTCTGGTTATCAAAGGCCCTCGCCTGCCTCTTGGGCACAGGGCAGATAACCAGGGAGCGGGTAATGCCTCCTAAGGCATTCACAGCTCACTAGACGCCTACTGTGTGCCAAGCCCCAGGGCTATACAAAAATGATAACCTTTATCCTTAAGTGACTCTGATGTAGTTAGTCCTATAAGACCCACTCTACAGGTGAGACTACCGAGGACTAGAGAGCCTGAGAGAATCATCCAAGTTACAGCTAGCAGAGAATAGATCTTTGACTGGAACACATGTGTTTCTGGCTCTGAAACCCATGTAAGATAGGGGAGCCGTGGAAGGGAAAGGGTGGGGAATGGGGAGCGAGAAAAGAAACATGACACAAAGAAGGTCTCAGTGGGCAGGCCCATTCCAGCTGGGGTTCAAGGTCACAAACTGGGTCATCAGAATGGTCCAGGGTCCAGACCTGCAACACTACTCCTCATGCAGTGACTTACCCATAGTGTCCTTCTTGGAGTCCCTTCCCAGCAGTAACCTTCTCCCCACAAAACAGGCCCCCCTGCAAGATTTCATCAGACAAGCCAGGGCTGGAAGACCCCAAGAAGTACTTTGCTCCCCACATCCTGTTCCTTCTCCTCCCTATTTCAAGCAGGTCCAGCCATCCCCAGTTCCCAGATCCCTCCTTACCCTCTTCAAGAACAGTCTTACTAGCTGTTAGTTGTCTCCATGGTAACAACAGAGGGCAGGCCCTGGGAGAGGAGGCTTCTGGGAAATGTAGTTTTCTGCGATTGCCCTGGGTCTAGTTCCCCAACCACCACCACCATAGTGTGCTGGATGTTAGAGTATCTGAGTGCAAGAGCTGATCAAGCTTTCAGGAATTTTTGTGAGCTAGTTGTCAAACACAGCATCATTAAATGATTAAAAACAAACAAACAAACAAAAACCTCCAGTGAAGTGTCTTAGTTATTGCTGTGAAGAGACACCATGACCAAGGCAACATCAAAAATTTATTAGGACTCAAGGTTCCAAAGGGTTAGAATCCATGATTCATGGCAGGGAGCATGGCAGCGGGCTGGCTGGTATGGCACTGGAATAGTAGCTGAGTGTTCACATCCTGATCTACAGGCACAAGGCAGGGAATGGGGTAGCTAACTGGGAATGGCATGAGCTTTCGAAAGCTCAAGGCGCAGCCCCAGTGACATACCTCCTCCAATGAAGCTTCACTTCCTCCCACGAAGCCACACCTCCTAATCCTTCTAAATCGTTCCACCAACTGGGGACCACCAAACTTTTAAATATTTGAGCCTTTGGGGGTCATTCTCATTTGAACCACCACACGAAGTACTTATATTAAAAACAAAAGCAGTAAATGCCCGAAGCTCATCATTTCCCAATTATTTGACTGTTTTCTGTGTACTTGTAATTTTATGCTGACCCATGCCACGTGGGTGCAGTGAGAATACAGCACTTCCCTCTTCCCTGCTCTGTCCAGGGATGTCCGAGCAAGAGCTTAAAACTCAAGGTGGGTTAGTTACACCACGGGAATTGGAAAAGGCTACAGACCAAGGCTCCTCTTGGGAAGCAAACAGCCCTGCCCCAGGAGAGGTAACCTTCACCAAGACATCTGGAAGCCAGTGTGGGATCTAGGGTGGCAGACCGCCTGACCGAGTGTGTGCTTCAGGCTAACTTGGGCTTAGAAGTAAGTGCCTTTAACCTTAAAGCCACCACACCTGCCTTTTCCAAGGGAGGGTCACAGCGAGCTTCTTGTCATCTCCTCCTCAGCAGTCACTTTTGCCAGACAATGTCAGAAGCGTCCTGCCTATCAGTCCCTGATGGGTACATTTAGGATGTGCTTGGATTCAATCCGGGTGCTCTGCTGGGCACTGGGAGCTGCTTTGGTGGGGACTCTAGAAAACAAGAGGTCTCAGCCCCACAGCTTCTCCCTGGCCTCGGAGAAGAGTCGTCCCTTCCTAGCTACATGAGGAAGCCAGTCAATGGGGCTGTAGCTTGGTTGGCCACATCCCAGTGAGCCTGCCTGGGAACGCCACAGCCTGGGTTCCCTTGAGTTCCAGGGTGGGAACTTGAAGGTAGTGCTGAGACAGAGTCTTGGAATGTAACTGCCTTAGTCACTGATCTATTGCTGTGAAGAGACACCATGACCAAGGCAACTCTTATAAACGAAAACATTTAATTGGGGCTTGCTTACAGTTTCAGGGAGTTAGTCCATTATCATCATAGAGGAAAGTAGGCAGGCATGGTGCTGGAGCAGTACCTGAGAGCTTTATATCCCGATTCACAGGCAAGAGAGAGAGAGAGAGACAGAGAGACAGAGAGAGAGAGAGACAGAGACAGAGACAGAGAGACAGAGAGAGACAGAGACAGAGAGACAGAGACAGAGAGACAGAGTCAGAGAGAGACAGAGACAGAGACACATAACACTGGCCTGGCAGGGGCTTTTGAAACTCAAAGCCTGCTCCTAGTGGCACACCTCTCCAACAAGGCCACACCTCCTAACCCTTCCAGCAATTCTTTAACTAGGGACGAAGCATTCAAATATATGAGCCTATGGGGCCCGTTCTCGTTAACCCCCCACAGTAGCCAGGCTGGCCTGGAACCTGCCATCCTCCTGCGTCCGCAGTCTCCTTCAGCGTTGCCCACTGCCTTTGCATTGGTTCCACGTGCTCTTGAACATTGGGATTACAGGCATGTGCTTTCCTGAATCCAGGAATGGTCCTGGGAGGAGCTGGCACCCCAGAAGGTACCAGTCTGGCTTCAGCGCAGCCTGTGGAGAGGCTTTGAGTGGGCAGGTTGTGGCCGCATTCTTTAAGTGGAGGTGGGGGAGGGAAGGGGAAACACTAGAAATCAGGGCTGGCAGTTTATTTTGACACATCCCTAATCCTCTCAGGACAGGGTGGGGACTCTATAATACCTATTTTAGGTGGGGCAAGGCTTAGGTTCTGAGAGGTGAGGCCACATGCCCAGTGTCACACAGCTCCAGAGTGACAGAGCCAAGATTCAAATTCGTGCCTGTCGGAGTCCGGAGCAGCTGTTTCTCAGATGACTCCATCATCAGCTCTGAGGCCTGAGAAACACCTGTGACGACAAGGCCCCAAGCCTGTCCACTGAAACAGGCTGTGGCTCCACAGACTCCGTGTTCAAAGCACAGGATCCTCTTCCAGAATACAACAGCAGCCTTCTTGCCTCCCTTCCTGTTATTAGCCAGAAGCCAGGAGACAAGGATGTCCTGGGACTACCAGCATGCCCAGTTGGGCAGGAAAGGGCTGGTAGCCCACAGCCTAGGCATATATGATGGCCTGCTGGGAAAGGTGGCAATGGGTAGTGGGGTGGGGGATGACAGAAAGCTAGGTAGAGAGAAAGCCCTGGGAAGTGAGGGGTGCTCCGCAGGCCAAGGCAGGGCAGGGGTGGGACTACTCACCATTGTATTAGTCAGGGGTCTCTAAAGGGACAGGACTGAATATATATGGGGTTGTTAGACTGGCTTACAGGAAGGATCCGGTCTAGGCAGCCCAACAATGACTGCCTCACACGAGAGAGGCCGAGAATCTGGAAACTGCTGGATGTTTTAGCAGTCCCAGGCTGATGATGAAGGCCTGGAGGTTCCTGGAGAGCTGATGGTCTCCCGTCTGCATTGGATTCCCAAAGAAACTGGTTCTAGTATCAACTAAAGAACGCCAAAGCAGGGATAGCGAGGGCAAGCAGGCAAAAAAGCCAATTTTCTTCCTTCCTTGTCCTTTTATCTGGGACCAGAAGGTGCCACTCACTTAGGGTTCAACTAATCTGATCTGGAAAAATCCCTTACAGGTTGATTTTAGTTGATTGCAGATGCAGTCAAGTTGACAGTAAAGATTAGCCCTGCCCCCATGCCTCTATTATTATTTTCTTTGTTTTTTGAGCCAAAGTCTCACTATGTATCCTAAGCTAGCCTCGAACTTACAATGATGCCCACGGTTGCGCCCCGAGTGCTGGGATTGCAGGGTAACCCACCATATCTGGCTTTCTCTATTATTTCTTCTGCTTTTTGCTTCTCATCAAGGCTGGAGGAAGAGGGAATTAAGGAGATATGGGGGAGAGCCCCCCACCCTGGGGTCTGATTGAAGGCTCTTGACAGCCGAGAGCCAAGCATCCAGAACAATGAAATTTTGCTGTGAAGGCTGCCAACCCACACAGCAGTTCCTCTCTTCACAGAGAGACTTCAAAGAATGCTAGCCTAGCAAGGAATTGTGCTCCGGGCCTGCGCATACACGGCGGTTTTCCTCTCCCAGCTAGAGATCCGCAGCTTTCTAGGAACCCCATTTACAGTAACAGACACGCCTTAACCCCCTTGTACAGCCTGTGACCCACGGTGTTATCTGACCAGATAACAGTCCTACGAGGCATGAGGCATCGATGGAGAAACTGTATAATCCTGTTTATACAAAAGGGAGAAGAAAAGGAAAGGAGGTTCCTTATCAGCCGCTTGAGCTGTAACTTGAGAGCCGCTCAAACCACACATGTATCGACGGCAGCTGTTAGGGCGCTCAGGCCAGGGACTCTCTTAGGAGCCACACTCAGGCGCTCAGGTGTGTCCTGTCCTTTCCCTGAGCGCCTCTTCTAGTTCCCATGTTAAATCTACATTTAAATCTCTCTGTCTCCCTCTGTCTTTCTGTCTCTGTCTCTCTCTCTGTCTCTGTCTCTCTGTCTCTCTCTCTCTGTCTCTCTCTCTGTCTCTCTCTCTCTCTTGCACACACACACACACACACACACACACACACACACACACACACAAAAAAAATGCTTCGCACTGGCTCTACAGAAATTCCTCTCTTCCACAAAGTCAAGGATAAGGGAGCTCCTCGGGCTGCAGGTGGCAGTGCTGGCCTGTGTCTACTCTGCCAAAGCTATACAAGAAAACCACTGGTGATTGAGGAATGAAAACTGAGTCACCGAAAGCAACATGCTTAACCTGAGTCCTGCCTGAGACATCCCCTTCTCGGGGAACCCTGTCAGGTTAATGCAAACGCATACATCCATTTGCTCAACCAACGAGTAATTGTTTATTGAAATCTGTGTGACAATTATTGGCTCAGGCTGTGTTGAAATGGTGAGCAAGGCTGTCCAGGTCCCTAGTTATAGGAGTACAGACATTGTGGGAAGGGTCTCCTTTTCTCCCTTTCCCCCTTGGCCACAGGCACGAATGTGGATGGAGCAGGCATGCCTCCAGTTCTGGACCTCTACTTCTGCCCCACAATGACAGCAGATCAGAGTCAGCCCACACGCGCCTGGCAGTCAAGTGGGGTGGGGGTGGGGGTGGGGGTGTTCCTGGAAGCTCACCCTCTGAGTGGCGTTCTCGGAAAGTGTCCCTGGGAGGACCTCAACACTCAGTAGAGCAGCAATTGGAATTAGGATGAGCCCTGACTGGGGAGCAGAGAAGAGGGTGGTGTAGATCATCAAAGCCCCCAAACAAACCTCCAGTCCTCTGCTCCTCTAGCACATGGGGAACAGTAGCCTGTGACTGTCCCTGGGTGGGGACGAACAGGCAGCTATAAGGTGGGATTGGAGGGACAGTGACAGGGCAAGACTGGGAAAGACTGGAGTCTCTTCAAGGGCCTTCTCTTTGACTCAGACTCCTAGCGAGATGAGAGG